GGCTCGGGGCGCTTTGGTGCGGCTTCTCCGTCCCCTGCAGTAATACCGTAATTTCTTCCCCTGTGAAGTAACCCTTAGGGTTATAACTTAGGGGGGTTTAGCCCGTTACAGCGTTCGGCTTTTCCTGCTGGGAAAGCCGCAGGAGAAGGCAGGATCCCCCTGGGCGGGCCGGGGCCGGGGGGGGCCCTGTCAGGAGTGTGCGGGGGGGAGGGGGGCATTGTCAGGGCCGGGTGAATTATTGCTGTACATTATAGCTAACGTCAAAGCAGCTTTTTCTTAATAACCCTTTGTTAGGCAAACTTTTAACTTCAGTGAATGCCCAAACTGCGCTTGATGTGCGGCTTGTCTTTGGAAAAATCTTCCCGGGTGAATGTGAGTTGATAAAGTACTGGGAGTATAGAAAGGCCTGATCTTCCTAGTGACTCGATCTCCGTATTTGCCTTGAGTTTAGTGAGCTGCGTGGGAAAGGTGGTTAACTAGAGTCTGTTTAGTGGGGTCTGCTGAGTGGGGTGGGTAGGTCAAACAGGGCAGGGTTTTTTTGAGGCTTTCTCTCCTAGAAACTTGAGTGCCAGCTCGGACTTGAGTTAAAGTAAAGGCCTGGCTGGTGTCTTTGGTTTTGTTTTTTTTTTTAAAATCACCTGCATGACCATTTTTTCCTTCCTGTTTTTATTTGGTGAGCAGTCTGGGATGCGAGTACTGAGGTCAATGTTTGAGCACTAATGCACAGAGTGTGACTGCCAGAAGGGCAGCGCATTGCCGGCAGGAAAGAGTTATAATCTTTGTTATGTTTTTTCCTTGTTTTTAGGAAACAGCTCTGCAAGTGCTGAGAAATAATTCCCAGCGTTCTTCATAACCACCTGACCCACAAGCTGGGAGCAAATACGCTCGCGCTGCAGGTAAGGGTGGTATTGCTGCCTGCTGGGATGTACAACTCGCAGCATGCTGTGGCCATGCTCTCAAGTACTTTTAACTCTGCTGAACTAATCATCTGGCTGATGTTTAGCCTTAAATCTGCCCTGTTTGGAATTCTTCTTCTGAAGCATTCACTCAGGATCTTCTGTAAAGATGTAGGAAAGTAGGTTGCTTTTCTGTAGTGTGAAAAGTTGTGCTGACTTTTCTGTTGAAAGGCTTGGGCAGCACCGCGTGATTTGGAAGGAGGAGTGAAGTGAGCTGTGGAAGAAGTGTGCTGCCTGGAGCTTCCTGTCAACCCAACCTCTGTTGTGCCACTTTCATAAAACATGAAAAAAACCCCAAACCAAAAAAACCAATACAAGTCGCTATTTCTGTGCACTCAGTAAAAATATATTGGAACATAGGGAGGTATCTTAAAAAAAAACTACAACAAAAAACTAACCCAAACCAACTGAAGATGCTTAAACTGTGTTTGTCCACCTGGAGTAACAAAGTGTTTCTTGGCCAGCCCAGGGGTATGAGGGATATGTGTTCTAGCGTCATCACTGTCCGCTTCTCTGGGACACTGGAGGGGGTCGTGGTGGCCACCAGTTTCAGGCAGCAGCTTCTTTAGCCAATATAGCTGCTGCCAGAAGAGGGCATGGAGGGTCCTGCGGCTTATCACCATCCTCTTAAATTTTCTAGTGTTCAGCGGTATGTGAGAAAGAGTATAACGTGCGTATTCAGCAATGTATCTTAAGCTCATGTAACCCCTGTTCTTTGTTTACTCCTGGAAATTGCTTGTTCTCCATTTTCTGCAGAAACTTTTGTGATACTCGTTATGCTTCCTGAACTAAAGAAGTGAAATTTCATGCTCCAGAGGAAAAAGAATGGTGTGCCTTGCTTACATCGTTAATGTCTGCCTACTGGGGGCTCTCTGGAACTCCCTGTGCCTTGTTAGTCTTTGTGTAACTTCTCTCTATAGGTTCCTGTTGTGCCTTTCAGGTTGAGAAGTCAGGTTCCTGGGTAAGGTCGCAGTAGTGTTTTTAGAGGAGAGGTTGCACTGTTGTCCTCAGGCAGTTTAACGGGAGAAACCGCAAGACTGGCAAATCATTTGAAGCAGTATCCCACAAGCATTGCGTTTTTCAGGTGGTATTTGAGGGAGCCATCAGACACGTTTAGATCTAGAATGTGGAAACAGCCATTTTTGCATTTCTTGAGCAAAGTAACAGTTTTGTAGCAGTCATGTTAGGTTTATTACAAAAACATGTTGCTGAATGCTGTTCCATTTGCTGCAGTAACATTCCTTGAAATGGGTGAGCTGGGATATAGAAATACTTGTTTTATTCTTCCCAAGTTGCCAGCGACCTTGCTGGTGCACAGTATTTTAGCACAGTTCAGTGCAGTAGGGCTGTGGATGCTTGTGTACAACAATGAAAAAACTGACTTGTTAATTTTCCAGATGCTGCGCAATGTTGCAGGGGTGTTAGTGAAAAAGTGTCTTGGTGTAGATGTGACTTTGGGTGGGATGATGCTGTTTGGGATGATTCAATAGGAGCCAGTTACCTAGCATCTTTGAGTGTTGTAGCCAGCGTTGTATGCCTTTGAGAAGGATATTATTAATTTATGTATTTTTTAAACAGAATGGTTCTAAGGAAGGTGTGTTGCTGATAGCATGGCTACCTCTTCGTGAGGAGGATGGCTATATCACTTTAGGGTGATGTGTTTGACACTTTTAGTAGGAAACGCAAGGACTCATAGTAAAATCTGAGTCGAAATGCGCTTTGTCTGCCTAAGCACATACACTCCAGAAGCCTTTTGCAGGCTTGCTCCTTAGTGAAAGATTTAAGATACTGTAAAACAGCAGAAAATAGACAGCTTGACTGTTCAGATCATGGACTGTTTTACTGCTGATTCTGTAGCAGTATCTGAAAAGTCCTTGGCTAGTAAATTCTGGGTTATCTTTGCCTTGCTACCTCATCTGTGAGTGCAGTGACTATTTTTTTTTCCCCAAAGAAACCTGCCATGGAGTTTCCTTTCATGCATTCTGGATTTAACCTCTGTCGAGGGCAGCTTTTAATTGCAGTCCCACCATCGCTTGGAGCTGGCAGTACCACCGTGTGAAATGATCCTTATGTCTGGAGTGGCACTACTGTGTATGTGGGGCAGGAGAAGGTAAAGCGGACCAAAGCACTGATCCTTGTAACTGGGGATGTTGAACAGCCAGGTGTGTGGGAATTCACAGCTGGGGGCAGGCCAGCTACTCGTGCTGGTTTGTAATAGCCATGAATGCGTGGCCTTAAATGCTTTGCATGAGCACCCATCGATTCATTACCCGGTTCCTTTCTGTCCCTGCAGCCTGTGAGAGCTTGTCACCCTTCCTCTACCCACCACAAAACAAGTGAGTGACTTAAAGTAATGGCTTTCGGATTTTGTTTTTTAAATAGAAAATAGTTGGCTTCTCTGGTGTGTGTGTGTTTCTTTTAAGTCTCTAGGGTCCCCAAATCTCAAATACCTGGGTTTTTCTGTTGCTGTTAAGAGTTAATAGCTCTTTGAAATGAAACCCAAAATACTCATACAAACAGCAAGAAGGAAGATCACAGTCTGAGTTGAACAATGCTGCAGCTGACCTGTGCTTGAAACATGAGATCTGTGAATCCATGTAGTGTCATAATTTGTAGCGTGCCAATCTGTGATGTAGACAAAGCCGGTCTATGGCAACATTGAAATCAGACCCAGTATCTGTATAGACTGGTTGTGTTATGTACCGCCACTTTAACATCTGTGTTTTCATTAGTTTGATGCAAACTTTCCATCTCTTGGCATCTTTGCTTCCAGAGCTAGAAAAGAGTAGTTGTATTTTTTTTTTTTTTTTTTCACTAAAATCTTAGCTGTGGTACAAACACAAGGAAGATCTGCAAGACTTGATGCCCGCCTTATGCCAGGCGGTGTTAAAGAATGCAGGAGGATTGTCACTGTATTAGATGCTGTGTGTGCAGCTGCCCAGTGCGTGCACCAGGTATGTGCCTGCTGTATACTGGAGTTGCCCAGGAGTTTGCCTCCGCCTCTGTTAATTTAAACCCTAACAGCACTGATATGCGGGGCCTGTAACTATGGGTTGCTATTTCCATTAATCTAATCTCCACCCACCCACCCCCTTTTTTTTTTTTCTGTTGGCTGAAGTTTTGGTGGACTGCGAAGTAAAACTCCTCCATCTGCTGATGGATATTTTGCTTTTTGGTTCCATGGCTGCAGGGTGGGTGGTAGCGGTCAGGCACCGTGGCTCTGCTCGGTGGGGCATTTTCTCCAGATCAGCACGCAAGCACAGGCGTGATATCTGCCTGGCCACCTTGGATGGAGCCAAGTACTTGTTGCCGGCTTATTCAGGCTGAAAGCGAGCTCATTGGGTCATGTTCTAAAACCACAAGGCTTACCTGTATCCTTTTTTTCTCTCTGAAGTTCAAGCTAATCCGATGATATGTTGCTGGAGGAGCAACTGCAGCGGGTCAGACTTGCTTTTTCCTTTTTGGGGAGGAAGCAGCACTCTTCTCTTGAATTCCCAAGAAATTGCCATCTGGTAGATGAAATGCAGGTGCTGTAACTTTTTTGTTTGTTTCAGTAAGATTTTTATTTAAAATTTCTTTGGATACGTGCCATCAAAGCATGGCTTTTTGGGCAGGAGAGGCATTTTCTAAAGGAGCAAGTGGTTGTGCCAGGGGTAGGTGATGTTTCTGTTTAAAAGATAAAATGGAAAAGGGAAATTACCGTATGGTGATATTCAAATTCAGGTTCTCAGTGGATTCACAAAAATTTTTCCTTCTTGTTGGAGAGGAAAAGAGGTATAGACTTCGCCGTGTCAAATTCTGAGATGATCCTCTGCTTTCTACCCCCAAAAAGAAATCTGTCTTTTTCTGGAGCTGGACATGTATCTGCACATAACTCAAGCCCGTTGAATTGTCGCCTTCACAGCCTAGCAAGGCTTTTGCTTTCTTCTCACGCTACTTGTATTTTTCTTTTCCAGCATTGTTTTCTTATGTAACGCACGTTCTTCATTAAGAATTAACACTGGTTTTCTTGGAGCCAAGTAAGCCATAAAAACCTCTTAAATCTACTTAAACTGCTCTAGGATTTTTTTGTTTGTTGCTGTAAGGTACATGCAGGTAGGCAGTCGTTGGCTGGAAAAAGGGCAGGAGCTTGGAGGAGCATCTTTCCGTTTGGTGCAAAAGCTAGGAATTCTCAGGAAAATCACATCTCATCAACACAGATTGTGCAAGGCAAGTTAAAACACGGGGGTCATTCAGCAGCCGTGTTCCTGCTGGCCATAACTTTTTCTACAGGGCTGAGGATTGGGGGTCATTCAGCCAGCCGTGCTGGCCATAACTTTTTCTACAGGGCTGAGGATTTTAGGAAGAGGTGAAGCCTTACTGCAATGACAGTTAAAAAGAAATTGCCAGGCTATGGCTTAGGTTTCTGCTAAAGACCTGGCACTGTGTTATCGATTGATGCTTTGTAGACTCTTCATCAATTTGAATTGTGCTCCGAAACAAATGTGGTTCCCCTTTCTAGTGAAATTAATGTGATCAAATCTCATACCTGAGAAGAAATTACTTTTGCTGCTAGGTTTCATTTTCATTCTCAAAACTGATTTATGCGTATTAGTAAGGTAATAACTTCAGTAATGTGAATAATCCTTTATCTGAAAATTGCACTGGGTAAGGTGAAAATTTGAAGTTACAGGAGGGGAAAAGAGCAGGAGTGGTTCGGTCTCTCTTGGGGATGGGGGAAGGAGTGGATCCAGATGCTTCGGTAGCCGGAATCCACCTCAGGGCAGCCTTTGTATGAATTACCCTTGTGCAAATCTCTCCTGCTGGTACCAGTTTATAAATGGAGATTTTGGGGAACTGGGGGGAGGAGAAGGCAAAATTACTAACTTCATTTTGGTGGAGGCAGGTTTGATGCTAAGAGGTTTTTTGTCTGTGTAACTGACGGTCAGGGGCTGAGATGGAGATAGGTGAGCAATATTCCTACAGTGGCTGCTGGGTCAGGATGTCTTGGTGCGCTCTGGCAATGTCAAACTTTGCTTTTTTTAATAAACATACAGCTCCAGAAAGCTCTTTCAGTTCTTAGTGACTCCATCTCAGCCATTCACTGCAGAAGTCTTTATGCCTAAGCAATGCCTCGTAAATGCAGATTTTTTTTGCAAAGATCTTGCTACATAACAATATTTTTCATTTAAATTTCTGATTGACATTCTGAACTAATGTGCAAGCTTACCATGCCCTAGTAAAATTGTTCAAACAAAAAGTGCCTGTGAACCCTTCTCTGATTAAAAATTAAACATCCATCAGCTTATTCAGTTACCGTTCTCCCTCTCATGGGCTTGTGCCACCGAGGCCAGCTTTGACATCAAAAAGCTGCTTTAAGCATGTTTCATCTTAAAAACTGTGGCTGCTCCGGATTGCCAAACAGGACTACAAAAAGTTCAGTGCTGGGGGGTACCCAAGTGCGAAGAAGTCCCTTTTCCCTGGACTGGGATACTTAGTGCTTTCAGTCTGAAAACCATCAGCTAATTGGGGTGCTAAAAAACAGGAGCAAGGCTTTTTGTTCTTTTTATTTCGGTATCTGAAAAAGGATGCAAGAGAGATGGGATCTGCCAGTTCTTATGTGCACTGAAAAATCCAGGGCTGGACTGCTGATGCTCTGGATGTGGCAGGGGGGAGAGGCAGGGAGCCTGTCTGAATTTCCTTGCAAAACAGGTTAGTGGACAGAGGGAAAATAAAATATCCACATCAAGCAAGAATGTATAGAGCTGTTGAAATAATTTTGTGTTTCTTCTTTTAAAGCGATCTGGATGCCCTCAGTTTGAATGGTGCCCGTCGTGTCTCGGATCGGAAGTGGTACTTTCCTAATGGATTTGTGGGTTTCCTGGATGTCAAAGACGCTAACACGTTTAATGTTAAATTACAGCTTTATGCTGTTCCCACTTGTTGGTGGCGTGTACCCATAGAGCAGGGCCGTGAGTGCTTACCTGACAGCAATGAAAGCTGGGGCAGAAACGCAGCTTAAACTGTGGAGCTGGAGCACAAAAACCTAGTGCTGATGTGAACAGAGACAAGCAGGATGGGTTGTCAGATCTCTTTTGGCGAGGGGATTGGAGTGAGGTGGATTTTTTTTGTTGTTGTTTTTAGGTTTTTTGAATGTTTGCACTCCAAGGAATGGGTTTTGGTGTAGCAGACAGTAAAGATAGCTTTGAATCTTCAAGTCTGTCAGTTGACTCTTTTGCATTAAAAAAAAAAACCACAACCACCCCCACCCCCCCCCCAAAAAAAAAAACCCCAAAAAAACCCCACCCATGCCTTGTGGCACAAATACAAGCAGATGTGTCATTCTTTTCTGGAAAAAAAAAAATTCTATTTCTTTTGTCCCAGGATATTAATTCAACCTCTGAAAGTAACTGTAGAGCTGTTCTGGGCAAGAACTGAAAACTGGCTTATCTCTTCGAAACAAAAATATAATCTACAAATTCCTTGTAGCAGTATTGCTAGAACATCATGATAACTGTTTATGTTTGATCCTTATTTTCAGAATTTGAGTTGTGGGTTTTTTTTTTTCTCTGAGCTTTGTTCTATCTTGTAAAAAAAAAAAAGTTACTGTGTTAAATCATGCAAGAATTGAGGTTGTTTCTTATTGTAAGCTGTAATCACATCAGTTCTTGGGAGTTTTATCCTTCATCTCAGTTTTATTCCTTATCCTACTGCAGATTGTGGTGTTAAGCTTTTCATTGCTGCAGTTAGGGTAAAGTGTTTATTTTTAATCTTTTTAAAAGTGAGCACCTGCTTTCTTGACTGATCTTGACTTAAATGCCTGGAGTTTTTAACAAAACATACCGTATATCGTGGCGCTTTCGATTTAAAAGAAAAAAAAAATTATGAGGATTGTGAAATTGCAGATGGGAAGCATGGAAAATTCAGTTTCCAAAGTGCTTTTTTTTTATTCTGAGATAAGATACTCTTTATTTTAGGGTTATTATGGGAACTGATTTCATCTCTCCAGTGAGCCCTGTCTGGATGAGCATCCCGGCACCATCAAGGATGGAGATTACTTGGACAAAGTGGATAATTTAGTGTTTCTTAGAGCTCAGACAGAGAAAACATTTATGCAGTACTGACGCCAACAATCCAAAATGTTGTAAAAAATTTCTTCAAGCTCAAAAGTAAGCACTGTGGAGCTTGATTTTCATTTTGACTGATTAAATGATACTGGCAACACTTCCCTTCCCCGTTACATTTTATGCATATAAAGCTGTAATTAGGATGGGGAACCCAAGTAAGGGCAACACGGGCTTATCTGTGAAAATAATGCTTTCAGGTTTTTCTCTGCATATGTAACAGAAATTCGTTCCTGGAGATGAAATGGGAACATCAGGTTTGATGGAAGTAAGTTTAAATTTGAAATGAGTTGTTTTTCATAACGAAATCTTCTATTGTTCAGAGATGGAAAAGATTGGAGAATAGGCGCTGTTGGCTGGCTGGATTCCATTTAAAATTTAAGCCTGTTTATTTTTAAAGGAATAAACAAAACGGTAATGCTGGCTGCAAACTTGGTTTTTAGTATGTGCAGAGATGAATATAAAATGGATGCTATTCAGAGGCGCTAGCTGTGAGCAGCAGAATTCATGGGTTTTGCCCATAAACCAGAGTGGTGAGGGATAGACACGCTGTGGCTTTGCCCTACCCATCAAGAGTGGTGTTGCCACCTCCATCCCAGCCTGCTGTCTCCTGCTGGTGCTCCATCCCGTCTCACTTGCCCCAGGACCATGCAAAAGCCTTAGATCCGATGTGAAAAATCACCGATCAGGGATTCGCTAATGACTTTTTGTTATCTGTGCTTTTCTTGCCCTCGCTATGTATTTCTGGATTGTGCTGTGAAGCCTTCAGCTGCGTCTCTACCACCTCTTGCCTTAAAAGACATTGAGCTCCGGCAGTCAAAATTATCTGCTGAATATTTTATGTGCGTCTTCCCTCCCTCTTCCTCTCTTCCCCTCCCTAAGTTCACATCACCGGTTCGTGTTATGAAATCCTGAGCTGCGTGTTGCTTTAATTGGAGGAAAAGGGCAGTAATATATTCCACTCTTTATAGCTGAAATGGGATAACACACCGCACGCGTAAGATGTCTTTGCGCAAAACGGTCCCAAGATTCTCATTGTTGGAAGTTAATGGTTTAGCAAAACAGCGCGGTGGCGTCTTGTGTTGCAAATCAAACAGAAAGCAATAAATGTGACTTTATTTTTGTATTCTGTAGTTATTCACTGGCTGGGAATATTTAAAAAAAAATGGTGAACAAAAGATAAAAATCAGGCCACTGCTCCCTGCTCTCCACTTCCAATGTTTTGGCTGGCCTTGGGAATTCTCTCTTTTACCATTCTGCTCCCATTTTTTTTCTTTTTAAGGCTGACCCCATGATCAGAAGATGGAATTTCCATCTGTTAGAAAGAAAACCTTTTTTCCACTAAAAGATACAGGACCTTTTCTTTTCAAAGGGAAGACTTACCCTCTCCTTCAGTCTCGTGAGCTACCAAAAATTGCTTTGTCTCCTGTAGCTGGTGTGTGTGATGAGGTGATGTTTTTGTGGTTCAGGTTTCTCCGTTGTAATAATGTTTAGATTTGTAGTTCTGGTTTCCCATTTGTCTCTGTGCCACTGTGCGTGGAGCAGGGCATGGATTGTATTTTATGAGTTTTGACACTTTGAAATTTGCCTTATACTTAAAGTTGAATAGAAATGGTTTTGCTCCAGGCTAGCTAAAAAAGTGATTTAAGAAGAGTAGGGTTTTCTTAAAGAAATTTAAAATGACTGACCTGGGGTTTTGTTTGGTTGATTTGCTTGTTATTTGGTTTAATTTGCCTATTAAAATCCAGCTATGCCTTTCGCTCTGGCCAAATGGCTCTTATTTGCTGTGGTTGCTTGTAAGATCTACCTGCATCTTCCATGGGTTGGCACTTGAGTGGGAGTGTGCAAGTATTTCCTCTCAATGAAGCGTGCTGGGGAAAGGCTGAAGAGGAATTTGGAAAACGCTGTAAGAGCAGCTGAGTAAGTAGTTGGGATGTGGCAGCAAGGTGTGTCAGCCAGGTGTGTGCCAATATGTAATGCTTGTAATTTGCTATTTATTAGACAGGTTATATGCCTATTTCAGAACAGCTAATAAGCATCTGTGACAGTTATTTTCTGTAACTTTTCCTCTTTTAGAAAAAATGTGAGCGAAGGTCTGGTCGAGGGTCAGCGTGAGAGTTCACAACTGGAAACCATTTGTTCCTTTACTAATGTGTTGTTCTTATTCGACAGGATGTTTCGCCTTCGATTTCTTCCCGTTGCAGCAGGGCTGTCTGCTGTTCTGCGGCGTTACCATGGGACAGCACATCACCCCAGGACCAGGCGTAGGCTCATGGTGGCGGCTTTCATAGGGACAACTGCAGCCACAGCAAGTGCCAGATTCCTTTGGCAGAGGTAATGTATATATTTTGGTGGTGTTTTTTTTTTATTTATTTTTTGCCTGAGACCTCATGCTGCTTTAATCCTGCGGTAAGCACCTGCAGATGGGTTTAAGATCTGGAAAGTGTTATTGCTTGTCCTGCTTCTGTTTTTTTTTTTATTTTATTTTTTGCCTGAGACCTCATGCTGCTTTAATCCTGTGGTAAGCACCTGCAGATGGATTTAAGATCTGGAAAGTGTTATTGCTTGTCCTGCTTCTGCTGCATGGGAGGAATGGCTGTTGCTGACTCCCTGTAGAGCTTCTTTGCTGCTGTGAGTAGTCAGAGAGCTGTGAAAAAGCTCGGGGCTGAAAAGTTTTCCACTGTAGCCATCCTCAGCATGGGCTGCTTGCCCTTGGTGGGGTTTGCTGCCCAGCTTCCACCCTGCGTGGTGATTCTACGTGGGTCTGTGGTGCTGTGCAAAGAGAAATCTGTTGACTCTACCAGCCTGGGTGAAAACGCTGTGGTTTCAGCTTCTGGGAGGGCCTGCTAGGGATGGCTCGCTTGGCCAGGGGACACTACTCTGGTTTTCTTTGTGTTCTGCTGACTGCTTCACTTACGAAACATAGCAGAGGAGCAGAAGGGGACAGTCCATCTTGCGGTAGTAAGGCAGCTGCACATGAGACTCATGAGGTTTTTAAGGGCCAGAGTCTGAGCACGCCTACTCTGAGCAATGAAGCTTAAACCTTGTTTCCATAACTGCAAGGAGAAAAGGGGATATTTGTGCTTGCCTGAGGTGACCCTCACTGAACCCTGGGCCTGTGCCACATTTGAAATACATCGAGGATTCCCTCAAAACGTGGAAGCAGTGTGGCAACGGCAGTGTTGCTCAAGCTCATGGCTGGAATTGGAGTCTGAAAATTCAGTGTTTGCTGCAAACCCATCTTATTTCCATTCAGATATTTAGGAGACTTATTGCTGACTCTCTGCTCACCTGTGTTGTAGCTGGAAGGTTCTAGTTTTAATGTAACAGGAGGAAGATGATGGTAATTGTTCTGGCTGTTCCTGGAGCTGTCAAATCTGTATGTCTGCTAAAAGGAGTTGCTTAGGCAGAGGAAGAACACAGTGATCCAGCACAGCGTTGTCTTATGCTGCATTTTGCTAATAATCTGCGCTTACAGAGTGCCTCTTTACCCACAGGACATGAACGCCTCTGCGGGGATGGCTGGGATAACACCCCTTTTCAGGCAGGGAAGTGAACAGGGTTTTTTCCACTTGAAACATCCCCAGCGTTGATTGTAAAGTAGGTAGGACATCACGTCCTATGTAAAGCTTTCCCGAAGACACTGAGTTAATGTCTCCCTCCCGCAGAAGATTCACCCCTGCTTTTAATAACAGCCAAATTGTTGGTTGTTAGCTTTGCCTTTTATCGGGAGGAAGGCTCTCCCTGCAGCAAAGAGCTGCGAAGGGTATATGGAGTGCTAGGTCAGGGGTGATTTCAGGGACTGATTTTTGGCTCCTGGGGTACTTGGCTGTTCCTTGGAGGCCCCTGGGCACTGTGGCCAGGCTTGATGTTGCTGAGCTGAGAGCGCTGACAGAAATCAGATAAAGGAGATGGCAGCCTCTTTGGTGTCGTGTGGTCTGTGATCTCCCCAGTCCTCATCAGTCTGGAGAGATTGACTTGCTGTGATTTTTTTTTTTTTTTTTCTTTCCTTGCTCTCTCTCTTTTGTCCTTTATAAATTTATAAAGCACTAAATAGGATCGTACAGATTTAAATATTCCTTTCGTACATGAGCCATGAAATAAATCCACAATGTCTGTAGCTATAAAATAAAAGTACATCCAGGCTTACAGTGTTACTTTAATTTCTTGGCATACAGCTGTTGAATAAGAGGAAGAAAAAAACTGATATGTTTGGTGTAGAAAATACTTCATACTGACACCTGTAGGAGTTTTAAACAGACTCTCAAACAGGCATTTTAACATTGTGTTTAAATAAAAAAGGGATGAGAAACTGCAAATTTCCTTTTGTCTTTCACAACATATAAATTGAGTGATTAGTCAAGTTTAAGGATAAGCGTAGGTGAATAAAAAAATGTTTGTAATGACATCCTGGGTTATTCAGGTAGTTACATCCCAGCTTATTACAGTAAGTAGCAGTAAATATAATGAATTAGTTGCTAAATATGATAAATGAGGTAAACATGTAATACATGTAGCCAGGGCACGGGGATCGAATAAGCCAAGGGTCACTGAAAATGTAAATTACTTACCGTAGAGAGAAATGTCCCTGTGCATCTGAGTATTTACACTTAGTAGTAGGAGATTATGATTTATTAAATGTTGCAGCGGTATTTAAATGGGAAGCAGGTTAGGGAGGTCCTTCTGTGTAACCAGTTCTGTTGGTGCAGTTAGTCTGTCATAGGGGTGACCTTGTTTTCCTTTGGTCAGTGAAGCAACCGTGCTTTTGTTGTGACACAGAACTCTCCTGTGCGGCACAGTTAGTCTCTGAGGGGTCCAGCAGGTCCGAAGTGTGGCTCTCGTAGCACCGCAGAGAGCTACAGTCCCTTTGACAGTGGATGACTCTTAACGAGGAACGTGCGCCTGCTAATATTCTGCTTAACCTTGGATGGTTGGTTTGTCAATAAAGCTGAGACACTCCATTGCCCTTTGAGTAAGGAATGCTCTCCGGCGTGCTCTCCTGCAGGCTGTCAGTGAAGTTTTCTTTTAAGATGAGGGACGTCTCGCTCTTCTTGTTTTCTTATAATTATTTTTCTGTTCAGTTAAGGCATTAAAGGCGTAATAGGCTGAATCAAGAAGCAATTGAAAAAAATCTTACGCTTCTCAGGCTGGGTAAGTAAGAGCTGTTGCAGTGTTAGAGGAAGAGCAATAATAAAAGGAAAAGAGTATTTGAATTGTATTTCATTTTGTCATCTGTGTAGAGCTTTGTGTAAGTGCCCCAACTCTTCTAGACTGACATGTGGGAAGCAGCACTGCATCTCTTATCAGTACCTAAAAAAACCCCAAACTTTTTATTTCAAAACATATTTCTTGTACTTCTGATGATGAGGAACCTTACAAAAAGGGATTAATATGGTGGTGCCTGTATGTGAATTTACCCTTTCCGCTACGTAGCATGAAGAAGGACTTCTTCAGGTGGTTTCTGACTGTCATGTGTAGCTTGAAAGCAGTGTATTTCAGCCTGACGCTGTAGGATACGCTTTGAACAGCATCAGAAGCCAGTGCTGTGGTAAGGAAGCCCACGCAAAGGTAGAGGAGAACTCGAGGATAGAGAAGATATATGTATAGAGAGATAGATATATCGATATATAAAAACCCCAGTGGTTGTATGATGTGAGATAGGAAAGACTTATTTTGTGTCTTCATATGACTGGAGGTGGCTTGATGGGATCTTCACGTTTGATCTGCATCTGTGTGTAGCTTTCTGCATAGTTGTCCCCTGAAGGTGTGTGCTGGTCTTGTAGCCTGTGCTGTCCTCCAGAAGCTCCTGCTGCCCGCTTTGGTGCAATATATCTCATCTAAATAATTACATGGCAGGAGTGGCTAATGCTGCTCTGTTCTGCCATGGTGAAGAATACTTCAGCAATGCAAATAACTGAGCTTAGAAGACTAATGAAGTTTACCCTTGCTAAGCAATAACTTAAACTCTGAGGATTTCCAGCTGGCAACAGCAGTAATTAAGTATCTGGGCATTGGTGTAATGAATGGAATTAATTAATTGAAATAAATCTTGGCGCAGTCATTGGCTAATCTAAATGAGGCATTAATATAATGGTAATCACTGAACCTCAGAGTTTGCAGCAAGCTGAATGTTTATAAAAAATATTCCGTTAGTGATACTCGTGTAAAACTTCTCTATGTGTAGTTCCAAATACTGGTTCAGTGTGTTATTAAATGGGCACAGATATTTTTCTTTATGTCACAAGCCTTCCTGGCTGAATCTGTGGGCGGTAGGTATGTGAAAGCACTTAAATTGGTGTTTCACTGCTAAGCTTGTCACTCAATCAACCCAGTACTGAATGAAATAAAGGAGCGAATGTACCTTTGGGGAGCACAGAAGGATTTCTGTAAGCAGAGTCCTACCAGTGCTGTTCCTGATCGACTGGAAATATTTGGTTATGCTTAATTTCTTATCCTTCTGCAAATATATTAGCAGTAAGAATAAGAGCAAGACATCTGTGTTGCTCTGGAAGTTGGTTAACAAGATCTTTGCTACCGGTGCGTTTGTGTCTAACGCGGTACTCTCTTATTTTGCTGCATCCCCTTGGCCTTACTCTGGGCTCTGCTGGTTCTTGCCCCATCCTGTGTCTAAGTTAAAGCAGTTAAGCTCGAGATACCCGTCTCCCAGCCCTGGTGGTATATTCTCATTCCGTTACAAGCTCTTCTTTTTCAGGCTGCACTCCTCAGCAACAAGCTGAGCTGTTTTGGTGCTGGCTGCCACTTTCATTCCATCTCTACCGTTTCTTCCCCTCTTCTACCCTTTTTTTCTTTGGCCATCCTGTATCAAGTGCCCAACTGCTTTACTGGAAGATCCTCTGTAGGAGAGACCTTTTGTCTTCCTTGCTTTGCTGACCTTCGCTGCTTTTTGTGTTTGGCTTTTGTCCATTGGCGCTTCTGAAATTAATTTTGAAGCCTCAGATCAGCCCTTAGTTCTGTTTAAGAATGCATTGCTTTTTTGCATCAGCGTCTTGGGGGCTTTAGAGTAATTTGCTTAGAACACATTTTTAATGGCAGAATTGCTGGAAATATCTTATGCCAGCTGAAATATGAGGCTTTAAAAATCTTTGTTCTAGTAAAACAAAGGAAACTACATAAATCATAGTCAAGAGGGGAGAAACCTGTTTTATAGCTGTAGATGTGTCGGGTACTACTTAACCTGATGTAGGAGAGAAAAGAGAAAAAATGTAGGTATTATCCACGTTAGGTTATTTTTATTTTGAGAGCTTTGCTCTATTTTTTTAATTCTTTGTGAGAGGTGGCAGACTTAAGAGACTACCCTTGGGACTGCTGTGCTG